CAGAGCGAGCCGATTCTTTTCATCACTCGGACAGTCTGTCTCCATCTCCGGCTCTTCACACCCCTCTTTAGGGCCGATTCACACCACAACAGCGAATCGACGACTAACATACCAACCGACCAACCGACTGGCCAATTGAGACCCAAACAAGCGTCGCTGCTGGTTGCCAACTCGACGGGACTCCGCATTGTACCAGTCTCGGTCGGAGAATAAACTGCTTACATAAACACCCCTTCCTGCTTCGCGTCTCACTCGCCACGCCAGCTCCGCAACTTTGCATTACGCCTGGCTGACTGTTTCTCTATTTGTCTGTTTGTCTGTTTGTATGCTTGTCAGTTGGTCTGTTTGTATGCTTGTCAGTTTGTTAGTTTGTGTGTTTAGATCAACTTTCATACGTCCGCAAACTGCGTGGGGGTATTGTAATGTTGGTTGCATGTTCTCCATCTCTGTCCAGCCTAGCTTCGGAAACAGGACGAAAGTGAACAAAGTGGATTCGCACAGAATACAAGCCACTTTTACCATGGCAACAGCCTTGAAGGCATGAGGTATGCCAGAAGAAGGGGAGGGTGAGGATAAGTGAGTGTAACCTTGTCCCATGTTACCTCAGTGAAGATTTCTCTCCTCCTGCCTCTTCTGTATGCGTGTGAGAGAAAGAGTGATAGAGACGCAAGCCAAATGGCTGGTATGGTGGCGGAGAGAAAGAGAAATGGCGAGGTGGGCCGGCAATGCATTGGTCCAGGTTGGCCGGGCTACGGTCATTCGGGCAGGTGTGGCGAGGGCGTGAGAGGCACCGAGACCGACGGCGATTCAGGCTCAGAGCGCTCAGGGCGGACTCGAGCCATGCGTGCTATAGAAAGAGAGAGGAAGAGAGTGGAACAGAGAGGTGAACAGAGTGGAAAGGAGAGCAAGAAAGTGGGAGAGAGGGGAACAGAGAGGATGAGAGTCGAAAAATGAGGAATAATGCTGACAAGAATGGAAGTGATAGGAAGAGACGTGAAGAGAGAAGAAGACAGAGGAAGGGAGAAGGAGAAAGAGTAAAAAGATTTGAAGAGAGAGAAAGAGAGAAGAAGAGAGGTGAAGAGAGAGAACAAAAAAGGAAGATAGAGAAAGAGAGAGGTAGAGAGAGGAAGAGAGAAGGAGAAAGAGGAAAATATTTGAAGTAAGAGAAAGAAATAGAAAGAGAGGTGGAGACAGAGAAAGATAGAGGAAGAGTGATTAAGAGAGAGGTAGAGAGGAAGCCAGAGGAAGACAGAAGAAGATAGAGGAAAAGAGTGGAAGAGAGAGGAAGAGACGGAAAGAGAGGTGAAGAGAGAGGAAGAGAGATGGAGAA